ATAAATGTATATAAATTGAATATACTAAAAACTAAGAGGTCAAGTCACAGCAAGACCTGTCAAAGAATAAAAAAAAATGCTTCTAGATAGTGCAGCAAATTCCAGTTATGATTGCTTATTAGAAGCATCTAGTGAGCTTTTATATTACTAGCTGGAAAGTCTAGTAACTTCCAATAGCTAAATGAAAGAATTTGATTGGAAGTTTAATTAGTAAAACTAGCTACTAGTCAATCCGATTCTTCTATAAGAAACAAAAAAAAATTTTGTATATAAGTTTTTACTTAATATAGATTATGATTCGTTATGTAAATAATATTAACCTGAAATTAGTAAATAGTATCGAAAATAATACCCATACTGATTTCTTTAACATAAAGAAAAAAAAAAGCTTAGTTCTCTCATTTTAGATAAACTTTTTGTGTTAAAGTCGATAACCCTCACTTTGTGGTAACCATTATTTGTAGCTATTGAAGCCACAACATTTATTTATATTAAAATCAATTAAATACACATTTATTATTAGTTTAATTATGTTCTATTACCATTAGTAATGAGTTAAGCCATTTTTAATTGGTGGAAATTAAAAATTATTATCTTAAAATGGCAATTGTATAAATTGAAAATTGCTCATGGTTAAGGAAATATTACTTACGATGACTATTTCGTAATTGTTGTTAACATGTTTCGTTACGTTATTCTGACTTAATATAACATGCGCAACAATATGTTAAATTTAACTGCTTCTAATAACTTACAGTATAACTATAAAGCTTATACATATTTTAACATTAAACTTCATCATATCTAAATAGATTTACCACGCACACAGCTATCTTTCTAATTAATTGGTTTATCACAGATTTCATAATCACGATGATTTTTATAAATCAAGTCTATCTACCAGTACCATGTAATGACCCATCCTGTTTCACACTTGTTGAAAAATTTTGCGTATACTGTCTTATTTTCACAACGAAGTTCTCCAAAATCATGATTGAACGCTTATAAATAAACAAGAAATGTCATCTTTGCTAATGTTTTTCTCTTTTACCCGCTGCCACCCAATTATTACCTTTTTCATGTATCTTGGTTTTAGCCTTTTTTGGTACTTGAAACTTATGGATAGCAACAAAATGACTTACAAATAACAAAATAAATATAATATTTTCCTAAATACATACTAATAAGTTATTAAAATACTTCTAATTCTGGCTTTTTCAGTTCTAATGTATATTGCTTTTAAATAACCATTAATTCAAAATTAATATACCTGAGTTTAAAATTTATACCAATTAAAATGTAACATATATAATTTTAAAAATTATACTGATTAATATGTAACGTATATAATTAAACTCCAAGCTTAATATAAGAGTTTAATAAATTAGATTGATTATAAAAAAATTATTTGTTATTTTATTTTCTATAATATGAATTCAAACTCTTTGCTAGTTTTTTCGTTTCTTTTATTTTAAAGCCTTCAAAAAATCGTTGATATTACATGGGCTAGAAAAACGAAAGACATATAATGAATCATTCAAAGTATGATCATTGCCTAGCTATTTTACGAAACCCATCAAATAAACATGAATGTTCGAACTTTAAATATTGGCTTCTTAATACTTTTAAATTAATTAAAGTTGGAAGTATTGATGGACTGAGTGTTAAATCTGATAAACATAATCCTTATAAAGTCTGTTCGAATTTAGCTCAAGCACTCTATCAGGAAATCATCCAACCTTTAAATCAAGTTAAGAGAACAAGAGGTAAGAAAACCATTGATGATATCAGAAAAAATGGCAAAAACAGTATTACTGAATTTTATTTTCATGATGACAGATCGACATATTACTCAGAACTGTCAAATGATTTATAATAATGAAAAAATGATATAAAACTAAAAAACATGGGTTAAATTTGAAACCTAGGCTAAAAATGGATAGACAAGCATATCAAGTTGGAAGCAAGTTTGGAATTTTGAATACATAGTTTTCAGCAAACGAATTAGAACCCTTAGTTACTGATGAATTTCCTGAACTTGATGTAATTTCAATGAGCAAATTTGTGAAAATTCTGGTTTGGTCTTGACTTGACAGGTTCTTGTTAAATGTTCAGTCCCAAGCAAACTTGGGACTTTACTCATATCTGCACATACATTTAGTATAATACATATTTTGCATGCATTCACATTTTTTAAATATACTAGATGCACGAGTCGAAGTCCCAAGTTTATTTGGGGCCAAGCATTTAATATAAACCCGAGTCAGGATCAGATCGAACTTTTCATATAATCTAATTTAATTAATTTAAAGTCTATTGTAATAGTGATAGTCATAATAATGTAATTATGCATGAGTAAATAAATATAACAATAATATTTAACTTTAAAATCGAATTCACCTTGATTTTTCTATAAAATAATGTATACAAAATAATAGTACTTTGTTGAAGTTATAAAGGGCAGTTTATTAAGGTGAAGCAGGTGTTTGAAGGAAAAGATAAGCTGGAATTAATTTTAATTAAACATTTACCAAAAAAAAATTTTTTATAAGAAACCTCTTGTTAGCTACACACGTATTAGTTTAGTAACTATAATGCAAAAGCATACTGGCGGTAATGGGCTGCATAGGCTAATAGTATATATAACTATTATTGGAAAAAAACCAACCAATCTAGCTAATACGTTTGCTATTTGTAATGCTTGTTGTAGAGCTAAAGGCAAAGAAGAAGCTCTAAAAGATTCAATTACCAATAAAAAAGAGGTGATTCGAAATCATTTGAAGTAATGTGAACATTTTTTGGCTAAACAAAAGTCAAAAGAAGCTGTTGATGCAATATGTTACCTAACTGATAATGAAAAAAAGAATAAGAAACAAATTCACAAAAGAAGAAGAATCGAAAAGCAGCAGAATAAAAAAACTTCAAGTAAATATTTAATTGCATTAATGATATAATAATTATGTCTAATATTTTTTAAAAAATTAAATAGGTGATGAGAATAGTTGCGAAAGTGATGATATTTCTATTATCTCTAATATTACCAGTCTCTCTAGTTCTTTACTTGTTAAATTGAAGTCACAAGCTTCTAAATCAGTTAAATCAATGAAAAATATTATAGTTAGAGTATTACTTCTAAAGAAAAACCTAAATTTGAACGTTTACTTCTTAGAATGACTATTTTAAACAGGTGGGCTTTTAATTGGGTGAATAACCCAGAAACATTAGACTTTTTGAATTTTTAAACCTGAATCTTGTACTTCTAGGTCGTGATGCTTTATCTAATAGAATATTAAAAGTAAAATCAAATAATTTGACATTGTCTCAGAATCAAATTTTGAAAGAGGATACTATTAGTGTAACATTCACTTTTGATGAATAGAAAAATGTGCTAAAACAGTATATATTTGGCACACTTTTTATTTTGTCTTCTGGTCAAGTACTAATTTGACAAGTATTTGATATTAGTGCTGAGTGAGAACATACAATTGAAATCAAGTCTAAAATTGAAACTTTAATACAAGATACTAAAAATCTTGAGGTAAAATTAAATGCTATTGTTTCAGATAGTGCACTAGCTTATACTAGTGCAAGGTAAACTAATTAAATTTAAAAGTTTATTTTTAATATTATCTAAATATTTTTTAAAAAAAATAATTATTTTTTAATAGACGTCAGCTACAAATCAAATTTCCTAAGATTGTCTTTTTACCTTGTTTCGCTTACCAGTGTAATCTTGCTATTGAAGAAATATTCAAAGAATCTGATAAATTTAAAATTACTTCAAAGCAAGCTATCACTATTGTATTCTACTTTAATACTGCATTAAATTTGTATTGGATTGGAAAGCTTAGAGAAACTCAAGCTCAAGTTTATAAAATATGTTACACTAATCTGTTCAAGTGATACTCAGTAAAACTCATACTTTTATTACTTTAAAAGTTTGCTTAAATCATAACAAGCTTTAAGAGTAAGTTCAGAAGTTAATTAACAAAAATAAAATAAATATATTTTAAAGAGTTATATAATTTAGCGCATATGCATAGTAACACACCCACTGATCGACCAATCAGAATTTAAGATCAGGTGTAATGTGAAATCGAAAAAAATAGCGATCTTTTAAAAAAATTGCTTGTAGCTAAAAATTTTGCTTATGAAACCTCTCTTCGTGTACTAACAAAAAAAATTTCTTGCAAAATTTTGGGCTAGAACCTTTTCGCTAAAACACTCTCCCTAACCCTAACCTAACCCTAACCTAACTCTCACCCTAACCCTAAACTAACGAATTAATTTATTGTTTTGATTTCACGTTACACCTGATCTTATGAGGTGTGTTACAGCGCATATGCGCAAAATAATATAATTCTATTTTAAAAATTAATTTTTTTTTTTAAGAATTTGGCTATAGCATGGGAGTTGCCTATAGAGTCTATACGAATAAATAAAAAAACCAGTCTTGCAAATAATCCTTCAATGCCAAATGCTACAAATAATTTTTATTTATCTCAAAAAATCACTACAATTTTGTTAAATAATAACTTTTGGGAGCATGTTACAAAAATTCAAGAAATTCTTCTTCCATATTGTGATGCTCTTAATAAACTCCAAAGTAATACTACTTGTCTTTATAATGTACTACAAGTATTTGGTGGAATTTTAAAGTTTTAGGATGAGTATAATGATTTAACCCTATCTCAACATATGATTGAAAGATTGGAGTGCCAATAGAGACAATGGGAGCAACCTTTGCTTCTTTTATCTTTTCTTTTAAATCCCAACATTTGGAATAGTTGGTTTAATATTAATATAGAAATTTGAATTTTACATATCTAGCTAAGTTTATTACATATTATTACAAAGCATGGTTTTCTAAATAGCCTATATATATTCTTCTTGAATTAGAAGCTTATCGCAAAAGGTTATATCCCTTTAATTTTTTAACTTGCGACCAATTTGGTGATAATGTTTTAGGATTTTGGGAGTTTGTTAATTCTGCAACAAAAGAATTAGGACCATTAGCATTATGCTTATTTGGAATTTGTGTAAATGCTGCGTCAGTTGAGTGTTTATGGAGTTTAATGGGCTTTTTACATACTAATCGGCGAAATCGTCTTCCGGTATTTATTTATTAATATATTTAAATATTAATTTATTTTTAAATAAACTTTAATACTAATTATATATATTTTCTATATTATTTAATTTATTTTTAAATAAACTTTAATACTAATTATATATATTTTCTATATTTATTTAATTTATTTAAAAAATAAGAATTCAAAGGTTTTTCAATGAGTCAAATTCGTGCATCAATGAAATATACACAATGATCGCAAGTTGAGTCATATGAGCGATTATATCAAGATTCAAATGCACTGCCAATTGAATGTTTAGTAAACCGAATGGATATAGTAAATGATAATATAGATCAAGAGTCTTATACAGATAAAAAAAATGATAATCAAAGTATTTTAGATATTGCTAGTATAGAAGAATGGAATAATAAATTAAATGAATGGGAGCAAATGTTGATCAAAGAAGAATTAGCACATGATGAAGATCAAGAAGCTGAACGTAATGGGTTTGAAGATATGCAAGGAGATTTGTTATCAGAATATTGTCATCCTGCAATTGATAATAATGCTAAACGGGATTTATATAATTTGTTTGGCCCACAATTTGAGATACCAAAATGTATGAATATTACAGAAGAATATATTTAGAAATACTTACTAATATTAGAAATTTGTATACATACATTTTTAGTCAAATTAATAAAAATTATAATAATGCTTAACAATACTTCGCAATTTTTAATACTATGTTTAATTGAAAAAATATAATATTATACTTAACTAAAAAAGTTTAATTTTTAAATAACTGTTTTAATAATTATTATTATTAAAAATTTTTTTATAACTTTCGCTATGCTCTTTAAAAGTTTAACTAGCTACTAATATATAAAATTTAATACAATAAAGATTCAATATATATAGTAAAATTTGATATAATAAAAATTTGATATGTTTATTTATTTTGGTTTTTATATCAATGATTCTATTGGCTTATATATTATGAAAAAATCTTCCAATCAAACCTTCTTACTAGAAGCACTAGCTGGCTGGAACAACTTGGATGTCCAGTGACCTTCCAGTCTTCCAGTCAGCAACACTGATGATAAGTACAACATGATTATAATAAAGAAAAGGCTTTGCTTCGCTTCTACAATCTTTCATTTTACAGCCACTTGTTATTATTTCTTGATTCTCGGTTTCTTCTCTTATTTAGATTTCTTGAATTTCGGTCTTTCTTTTACGCGTACTTGTTCTTCGGATTTCACGTTGGTTGTTGTGTTTATTATTCGACCGATAAGCCTGCCTCAACCGATAAACCAGTATTTGACGGGTGATTATTTCGTTAATCACGGGTTTACTACGCCAATTTCGTCGATCTACCATATTATTGCCCATCTCTAGTCAAAGGTCAGTTAAATAATTAGGGTAGCTGCGCGACGCGGTGGTGTCGCGCTAAAACCAGGAACGAGTATAGATTGGTTTTGAAAATTTTAATTATTGCTGTTGATGTTGACTTGAGGTCAAAATTAAGCGGATGAACTCTTAATCAGAAGGGTATTTTTTC